TATTAAAAATATATATAATGACTATTATTTATTAAAAGGAATATCACACTTACCTCAAAAATGTTAAATATACGTTATAAACCTTAAGTTCCGCTCAATTAGTTATCGGACCTATATAATTAAAAAAATAAAGCACGATATTTTAGCGTTGTGTGTCGTAAAATTTTTAAATACTTAGGCCGTGTGCGAGTTAGGCTAAGTTGATGCTAAGCCAAATGGGAGATTTTTTGGGATTTTTTGCACTGCACACATTTAGCCATTTATCAACACGTATCGGCACATTATCGGCACAATTTCCCTCATTTAGAACGCAACTTAGCCTAACTCGCACACGACCTTAATTAGAATTTTTGTTTTTATTTTAGTCGTACAAACTTTCTCTATTGCTGAATATGTAATTTAGCTTGGGTTACAATGTATAGCTTCTGTTGTTGGAACAAAGTTTTATATGAAAATAAAATTTTCCAACAAATTTGTAAAAAATGATATATATAACAAAACAAAATAAAAATCTGAGATTTAAGTCAATGCCAACCATGTTATTGTTATAGCCAAATCAAAGAAAGAGGTGAACTCACAGTTCTCGCTAGGACAAAGACCCAGCGACTTTTAAAGGGAAATTCTAAGTTGTGCCAATAATGTAGTGATGTGGTTAAATGTGTGCAGTGCAAAAAATCCCAAAAAACTTCCCATTTGCATTCTAAATGAGGGAAATTATAAACAAATACGTAAATAATTAATTAATTTTTTAATAAATTAGTTTAATTAATTAATTTAAATATAAAAAATAAAAATATTAACCATTCATATTGTTTTCTTTTATTAAAATGAATTGATTTTTAATGTTTACAATTTTTATATATCATATTGTACACAACAAAACAAAATCAAGTCAAAAATAAGCATTTATCATATATTAAAAGTGATGCCAGTTTGTTTGAACAAGACATAATACTGTTTTTTTACAACTCTCAAAGGAAAAATTACGGCTAGTGTTTTTTTGCACATTTATTCTTTATACGTAATTTGAAGAAAATAATAATAAATAAAATAAATTACTAATAAACTCTAATTTTTTCTCACCTCGAGTGACCTCAACAATAGTGTGTGAATGCCTTCTACTTTGCTGAAAGGGTTCACTTAATATGGATCCCAGGGATGGACAGCGGATTTGGCGGAAACGAAAAATCAGATGAGGAAGCCAGAAAGTGGACGACCTTATATTGGGCCACAACCATACTACGGTACTTCATGAAGCTTTTTCAAACTTAAAATAAGTTTGGATTATTATTACAATAATCCTCAAAGAATGCAGTGATGTGGTGACAAGTTCCCAACCCGTTTTAAAGTCTAATCTAATCGAAACTCTAATTTAGCAGATCAAGGAAAAGTCTATGTGCTCTTTAGAAGCTTTTCTGACCGACTCGTCTGGTATATTGTTGCTTTTAGTAGTCCTGTGTTGTAATATTCATCATCATCAGTAACATGACATAAAATATGCATTTTATTAGAGTCCTGAATTTTATCCATTTGAATTCGTTAACCTCTGAGGTTGCTACAAAGATATAAATATTCGAAGAACGAATTCTATCAACTGTTATATGGTTTACTGCTTTTGCAAATATCCTGCAAGTGGATATGGAAATTCGAAGACACGGTATTACTATAGTATTTGCATATATCTTAATTCTACTCTCTAATTTTGACCCATCTGCAACTTCAGCGTTACCTGTTTATATTAAAACCATAAGCAAAACACTAAAAGTATTTATATATATAATATAGATTTTATTTATTTTTAAATTTTGTATATCATAACCGTTTATGCTCTTTACATATATATATATGTATAATAAATAACTAAAAATGTTTTAATAATTGGTTTTACGCATACATTTAATATCTATTATTTTCGTTAAATTTTTTATTTCTTTCTTACATATTTTCTATTTTATTATATTTATTTCAAATATATTAAAAAATGCATAAAAATTATAAAATTACATTTCACATTATATTTTTAGTATAATAATTTGACGACCATTTTTTTATTATTTTTTAAATAATAAAGTTTTGGCTTATGGGTTATTAATGAAAATGAAAAATATGTTTTCCGGTTATACACAAACGTAAATTTTACTACTTCTGTATATTATACACACACATACAATAATAATAAAAAAATTATAACTATGTTTAAATGTATGTACTAATATAATAATTTATAAAAAAAGTTACATATATCATATAAAGATAAATTTATAAAGTTAACATGTTAAATGCGTGAAAGGTGACCGTGTCTCAATGGTTACACATAATATGGTTAAGTTTAATTTAAATTAAATTATAATTAAATATTTTCCAATTATGTTATTAAATTACATATCTATACACTAAATTTGTTCACAATAAAATGTTTACTTCAATTTTAAGATAATTTTATTTATTGTGTTCAAAGCATAAAATAAAAGGACGGGTCTCTCCTTAAATGTCCCGATCCTTGTTAGCGTTTTATTTGCAGTTCTTTGTTTTTTGTTTTTGTTTTTGTTTTACAGTTTAACGTGTTATATTAAAATTTAGGTTTTGATTAAATTTTCGTGATAATTTATTAATTTTTAAGATTAAGAAATTCGATATTTTGAAGAAATTTATTCGGATTTAGTTTTGTAGTTTTTTTTTTTTTGGTAATGCGAAGCATATAATAGAGTTTCTCCTTATAATATTTCTAAAACATTTTACCTAAATTACATTTATATTTATAAAATATTTTGGACTTTGTTTAAAATTGTTTAAAATTTAGTTAGTTTCGCCTGAATATTCTAGACGGCAGTTAATTTCTGCAATTTAGTTTGATTTATGCAATAAATGTGTTTGATTAAATAAAAAGTCGTGCTCGTTAAAATGGTTTATAAAAAATTCGTTTTATAAATTAAAAACAATTTTACGTTTTATAAATTAAAAACATTTTCAAGTTTTATAAAATTTATAAAAAAAAGTATTTTTGTTCTACAATCAAATTTTAGTTTAATTGGTAACTAGTAAGTAACTAATTTGGTACGACTTGCACAGATAAATTTTATTTTGAAAACATTTTATTAAATACATAATATAAAGTGTTTAAATATAAAAAATCAGTTTCTGAAAATTTATATTGAATTCTTGTAAACAAAAATTGATTTATATGTAAAAATATTCAAATTTATTAGGGTTAAATTTATTACTATATTTCACAAATACAGTTTAGAGAAGTGCAAATAGTAATGAATTACAACAATAAAATGTTATAAAATATCTGATATTAATTTCATTTTTTCCTGTATAAAAACTTCCTTTCTATAGAACATAAATTCTCCTTAGCATCCTAGCAAAATACTTACATATTTGTTAGGGAGACATGTAGTACTTACATAAAAGGGAGGCACATGTCTACACAGTGATGCCTAGAAAACCATGTTCAACCAACATAATCACTCTCTTAAAGAACATAACATTTTATAATATATTATAAGAGGGAGGATATAATACTTATCATAAAACAAAGAAAGTATTTTTATTCATTGCAAAAAAAAATTTGATTTTAACCTCACTTCAAGCACTGTCCACGCCACTGATATACATATATCAATATTAGGATCAGTTGTTTCCAAAATGAAGAACCAAATGTTATCTAAATTATTAAAATTCTTCACTAATTACTTTTCAGTATGCTGTTTTAAATATATAGGGTTTTATTATATAAAATTTTTTTTAATTTCATTTTTCTTTATGCTTTAATGTCCAAATTTTCTTTGTATATTGTTTCACACGGACTAATTTTTAAGTAACTGAATTTTTTGACTAAACTTTTTCCAGCTTTGAGTATTATTAAATATCCACCAACAGTGATTGTTGGAATTTTTTATTTTGAATTTATTCTTCGTATACTATTTTTGCACTACAACTCTACTAAATTTTGTAGCACAGACTCATGTTTAGACAACTAAAGCAATGCCGTACTTATGTTTTTCAAACTTTTCCAAATTTTATCAATGAGCTATAATTGTTTTATAAATAAATTCACTTAAAAAATTTGTACAGACAGCTATACATTGATACAGTTAACTGTTATATAGTTGTTACTTTTAATTTTAAGTACTATTTCAATACTAATTCATTACTATTTACCCTTTCTCTATTTAAAGAGTTTCTTTGCTAGAAAAGTTTCTTTGTTTTACTTTCTTGTGGGGTTGAAATCATATTTTGTATTTGTAAAAATATAGATCAAAAAAGATCTATATACTACCATTTAACGAAACTATAATAAACTAAATTAAATTGATAACTAATATATTAGATAATATAATCTAGTAATTTCAATCTTTAAGCCAGTGTTGCCCACTTTTTAAATCCGCGTGCAATTTTAGCCAATTTTTAGTCGTACATGAATCCGGCTAGCAAATGGTACGGGCTATTTGTAACTTTAGAAGATTTTTCCTCCAGTTTCGTTACCAACAAAAAAGCAGGCAATTGCGTAAAGTCGTATAGCAAATGGCATTACAAACACAAATGTGTAAAAAGAGTTATGGTCAAAGCACCCATGCTTTAAACCCTTACCTTTTGAACAATACTATTTATAAGGAAATTATCTAAGAATTTTTAATTATTAATTTCTGGTGCTTATGAATGAATTACTTAAAAATTTTATTCAATAATTCAGTTTAAAATGTGCAAAGCGTACAAAAAATAAAATAACATCTATTTTAATTTTATATTTAAAAATTTGCGCTATTAACAAGTTTTGTAAACGATACATATACATTAACAAAACATAATAAATATAAAATTTAAAATATATAAAAATTTGTTATTTTTTTTATAAATTTAAAACACATTATTTTTAAAGTAATTCAGATAATAAATATACAATGTTTTTAAAAATATATGTACATAATAACATTTTAAAAATAGTTCTGTTAGCAATAGAACATATTGATTTCTATTTTTTTTTATTGTACAGCAAAGCCTTATAATTCTTTTTCAATTCATTTAAAAACAAAACATATAATAAAGATATTTTTGAAACATTTTTAACAGCAATAATTACTGATATTCATCATCACTGCTCAACAACATGGTTTTTTCATTATAATTTTGACTTATCGTTGCGACACGTTGTCCTCCAGGCATAAATTTTCGCTGATTACCCAAAGTCTTTGATGCAATACAACCACTCATGCCACCGCTACCATTCGTTGAAGCACCGCCGATACCATTCTGTGATGCATTACAACTTGGATCGTCTGGATCATAGGAAGAAACACGTATGCCGCGAGAATTCTTTCCACCTATTTATTATGTATTTATTTCCATAGAAAATTATTACATTTTTAAAGCAAATAACATTTTCTATATAATTAATTTGGTTATAAAAAACATGCTAAAGAGTTTTAAGAAATTTATAATCGTTATGCCAAGAATATTTTTAAAATGCATACCAAAATGTTTAAAGTAGAAATACAAATTATAAAAACAAATATTTTTTGGAACTGTCTTCGAATATTATTAGAAATAGTATTCGACTCGGTATCCTATTAGCACTTATTCGAAGTAATATATAGACGTTTATATAAATTGTTTATTTAACAAACTTCGACAGTTTTAAAAATACTTATTTTTGAAAGAGTAAAAATAATGTCTTTACACATAATACAGTTTAGTTAAATATATAGCCGAAAGACCTAAAGGTGTGGATAAAAAGTGTTTACTAAAATGCAAATATTTTTGTTAGTGTATTATGCATTTGCAATGATTTTTCATATGTCTATATCAGCATACTTAATTGTGATCACGTCTTCTAGTCCTTTACCTTATCCTTTTTATGTTTGAACAAAACTTAAGATATGAAATACAATATATACAATATATCAACATATCCATTGTTTCCTTAAAGTACTTTATACAATGTATAGAAAAATATATTACAAATTTTCAAGTCAAAAATGTACTATTATATATATAATATAAATAATATATATAATATTCAATAGGTTCCCGAAATTCTTATATACAATTAAAAAAAAAAAAGACTAGAAATTTTCTAGATAAAGAATTTAATAATTAAGTTAAGTTAATTAATAATTTTACACTTGATCTGAACTTGACTGTCTGCATAACATGTGTGTAAGCAACACTTAAGTGCCCAATGTCCAACACTTACGGATTACTTTACTTTAATTGTCCATTGTTAAACTAGCAAAGAATTACTGCTAAAAATAAGTTCTCCTTTTAAAATGATATTAATACTATTTTCTGTTTATACACAAAATATTATAAAATTAAAGCATAATCATTTTTAATAATGATTAAAATAAACTTATACAAAAAAAAATAATCTATATATATATATATATATACAAGTTTATTAATTAATATTTTTAAATTTTTAAATTTGCTGAAATATGGGTACAAATAACATCTGCCATAATTTAGAGTCAGATCTATAACAAACTTTCACAATCAAAACACAACAACTATATAAGATATTTATAAATTTATTTATAATTTATTATTTAATATTTTTATTTTTGTAGCATAGAGTAAACACTCATTACAACAATTATCGCTATATATATATTTTTTATTTTTTACTTAATTTAATAAGTGCACTTTTTTTCTTAATATTATTTATAATATCGAAATAAAAGATTAAAATAAAACAAAATGTATTTAAGTACCACCTTAACTAAATTTATCTGTTTATTTTTTTTGTAATTTGTATTAAGGCAGAGAAAAGCACAACTTATTTAACAGTTGTAATGTATATAAGTAGAAATTACTTAATAAAAAAACGAATCTAATAAATTGTGCATTCTGTATGTAGATTATGGAATGATATTACATATATAAAATATATACTTAATATTGCAAGATATCAAATAACTATTGAAGCTATACTTTCTTTTAGAAAATAAATCTTTATACTTATATAAAAAAGAAAACTTATAATTAATTAAACTCTATTATAAAAAATTCATAGTATTAAAAAAATGTACACAGAAATTATAACTTATTGAACTTAAATAAAAAAATTATATGTATATATATATAGTACTTATATAAATGAGAATTAAAACTAAATTGACGTTCCAAAGTAAAATCACTTTGTTTTATGCACACAAAAAGTAAAAAATAAAATTAAAAAATTTTCAAATTTGCGATTTTTTTTTTTAAATAATAAACAATAAAATGGTTAATACTAAATGAGCATAAGACTTTTTCTATATAAAATAATTTAATAAAATAAAAAGTTATTCTTTATATGTGCATTATATTGAAACTAAATTAAGTTACAAGTTTAATTTTTAAGTACAAATAATTAAAAGGCAATTTGGTTGACAGCGTAGTTAAACATCAAAATAAAGAAAAAAACATATTTCATACATGTATACATATATACGTTTATAGTTTTTAAATTTTTCCATATCATTTTGACACTATTTGTCACAGTTTTTAAAATTAAGCTTTTAAAACGGAATGGTTTATTTTGAAATCAGTAGCATTTTTAGAGTTTTTCATAACGTTGAGATGAAGTTACTTCTGTAAAAATAAAAATATAAAAGAAAAATATTTAACAAAAGAAACAAAATCTCTAATATAATATTTAAATTGTGTATATTTTATGTGAAGTAACATTGACTAATTGACTAATCTTTTTTAAATTGCTTTGTGAATGTGTGTATATAACCCAACACCTTTAGGTAATTTTATATATAGAAATTAGAAAAAAAAAATAATTTTTTAACTTAACTAAATAAAATAAAACATAATATCAGTATTATTTAACTACTACATATCTACATATTTATAAAAAAAAAAACAAACAAACAAACAGCATATATATTACATGCAATCTAAACAAAAATAAACATTCTCATACAAAAGAGCTAACAAACTAACCTGAGCTATATTGTGTATATTGTTGATATTGTGGATGGAAATTGTGAATAGCATCTGTCATTATGTCCTTCGGGTTCATTGTTTCCTTTAAAAAAAAATTAAGCAATTAAAAAGTTATATATTAAAAATAGTTAGAACTTTACTTTTAAGCTGCTTGAAATTGATTGCATTGTCACTGAACGTCCATGACCATCACCAATACAACTGCGTGCATATACCTGAAATGAAAGTAAAAATCTTTTATTATCTATAATATAAACTAAATTTCTATTTTTTACATATTCATAAATAATTACAGTTGATTAAAAATTAATAATTGTCTAAATAAAATACAAAGGCTAATCAATAAGATCTTAGCGATAACTGAAATTATAATCTGGCAATATTTTAAAATAAATAAGTATAATATATTTTTTATATATTATATATATAATTATATATTTTATTTATTTATTATTTGTAATTAACAAAATATAAAATCTTATAACCAAAATAAGAAAATTATTTTATTATTTTTTAAGCTGAAATTTAGTTACACGCTTCATTATATATATATATATATATATATATATATATCAGAATTTTATTTTATGTGGAACTATTTTTTATAATATGTGTTCAAAAACAGATTGTTTTGAAAATAGAATCGAAAGTAGAGCAATTCTTAAGTATATCATTTATGGATGGTGGGCTATTACAAAACGAACAGTAATGGCTGATCGCCACTCACTGGTGCTCATGAGTAGGTTTTGAATGACCCATACGCAATCCAATCCAATCCAAGAACTCGCAATCCAAGAACTCGCTTAGTTAATTTAATAACTGTATATTAGACCAGATTTAACAACACGCTAAACAATACTAG